ATTGACTGGTGAAGTGAATTAACATTGATTATATTGTTACAATGGTATCTGTTAGAGCATAAGTGAACAGTCAGTTCTCTAAATTTCCTGTTCCCTGTATGCCGTGGATAGTACCTAACAAAAGTGGTGCATGAAAGGAAAAGTGAAACCTGCATCAGTGTCATGAGTGCCCATGGCTTATTGATGCCTGTGGGAAGCCCGTATGGTCTTATCACACTTCATTCTGGCCATCATAGAAAGGTGTCAGAACACGCAGTGCAGTGCAGTTTGTTGTGTATGGTGCTGCATAGTACAGACCGGTCAGAGTTCCCATGATGACCTTTGTTTACCTCCGAAAGTGACTGCAATGGGGACATGAGCATCAGAACTGGACCACGGAGCAATGGAAGATGGCATTGTCTGATGTATCACGTTTTCTTTTAGATCAGGTTGATGCGTATGTGCGGTTTATTTGGGGAATAGATGGCAGGAGGATGCAATGCAGTGTTATTTAGTGTTATGCTTTTGGCAATATTCCGCTGCGAAACCTTGGGTCCTGGCATTCATATGGATGTTACTTTGACAAGTACCACGTACTTTATTATTGTTTATTGTAGACCACGTGGTGTTCCCTGATGGCAGTGGCCTCTTTCACCCAGATAAATCACCCAGTCACACTATAAAAATTGTTCAGGAATAGCTTGAGGAACTTGACAAAGAGTTCCATGTGTTGCCTTGGCCTCCAAATTATAGCCTCTACTTATTATGCATGCATATGTGTGGTTACCAGATCCACCATGTGTTCAGGGACACGTATCACGTATACATATTGATGGGCAGCACATGAAAAGGGTTGCCCTGTAGTATGTAAAATGACGGTAATGACGAATCCTGCAGAATATGCATTATACGTACCGCAGGGCAACCATTTTCATGATTTTTCATAAATATGACAAAATTATCTGTCTCTGAAGACATGCTGGATCTGGTAACACTACGTATATGTAAATGCCTATTTTGATTGTCATTTAAATCTAAAATGCAATTTTAAACACTTTGGTCAGAAGCACTAATATATCTTATTGTACATAGACTTTATGTGAGTTGAATGGCCAGAACTAGTTTAGAATACATTGTTGAGTTGCCCGGTGTTTGGATATGGCAATAGGATTTGTACTCTCACATTATCTCTGTGCTACTTGCATATTCCATGGTCCAATAAGTATTGCATCTGACCAAAAAAGATTCATATATGGCTACCCTATAAGGCAAGAGTAAGCCAGGAGATTGTGTGTATGCATTATAAATCCATCAATTCAAATGCTATTCTACACACATTTTAAAAACAATATGGCAATTTTCCTTCAAGGCAGCTTACTCATAAAATTATTACTTTGTCTTAATGATTGCTTTGTGAGGAACAAGCGAAGACCGTGATATAAAGGGGTGCTAAAATCACCTAGAACACTTCATCTCAGTGAAGTGGTGTGAGTGCTGATGCCCTGTCTTTTTAACCCTGCAATGTAAACCAGGGTAGAATCCAAGTCTAGTGGCTGTCAGCCGCAAGAGGCACTTCTGCGGCACTGACTGTGTAAAACTCTGTCACATGACACGGAAGCCCTTGGGAAAGCATTGAATACACTGCTTTTCTGTGGGGAAGCTTGAATGCACGCGTCACTTGCTCTACATGCACATCAAGTCCCCAATGCTTCTCTATCAGAAGCACATTGGATTTGGACCATTGCGGAGGAGGCCATGCGCTGTTTTTAATTTTTTTATGGCACGGGGACAAGGACTCTATAGCATTACTTTAGTCATTTTTATAGCATGTGGAATTCAAATTGCACACTATAATCATTTGGAGCAAATTAGCTTTACATTCCTTTAGCTATAAATCTCATTTTTGCAAACCAGTATTCCGCCTTCCATAAATGCGTTTTTGAGAATTGTGAAATAGTATATACCTTCAAGAAATGTAGATATATTTAAAGTACCTGTTCACTAAAGAATTATGTGTTTACAATATTTGGCTATTTTTAAAAATGTTAAATGTAATAGCCAATATTTAATGACTTTATATTTCAATAAAATATATTCTTTTTCTGTGGATTACTTAACTGCATTTTGTTTTTGCACTAAATGATGATGTGGTTGCCCACTTGGACATGTTTTTATTTTTATTTTTTTTACTTTTTTCACTTCCAAAAATGGGTAGATAAAAATTTAGGAGGAGGGGGATTTTGTGTTCCCTAGTAAAAAGTACGATTAATAGTAACAGTAAAGATTGCTCAACAAGTTTTGAACAGGTCAAGACTTATTTCTTTCTGGTCTCAATGCATTGGATACTTTGAAGCATTTTTATACTGCAATAAATATCTAACCCAATGATTAAGGTTTGTGAAGGGCATGTACAGGAATCATTTAATGGCTATTGTCATTTCTCATATGCATTGATTTCCACCTTTTTGAAAGAAACTTTCTACAAGCCTTCAAAGTATTTGTTAAATGTGCTGTGACATATACAATTTAATTATTCTTTTGTTCTGCCAATATTTTGGTATATACTCGAATATTTACAGTTATGAGACATAGGACATTTTTGTGTGCATGGCTTTCTGCAGATCTCATTGTGTCATTCAGCTTAAATATGCTTGGCTTCATAGTAAGTGGTATCCTAATTCCTGGCATGTGAATTGGTTTACCTGTTATGTTTTTTATGAATCATATATTTTTAAAAATATTCATGAAAATATTGGCTAACATGTTTTTATTTTAATCAAATTCTGGCATAAAGTGTTTTTTTATTTTCTTTTTTTTTTTTTTTTTTTTTTTTTAAATATTGCTTGGTAACTAGTGTGATAACTTAATAGCCTTTATCCACTTAAAAAAAAAATGGAACTTGTAAAGTACACTGCTTAACTATAATGTTATTTTATTATTTTTATTTTTTTATTTTATTTTAATTTTACAGTTTACTGCAATTGCCCTGCACAATTCTAATTCATTGTTTTAGTATTTGTGATTTCAGTCTTATACCATTTTCATTGTTCTCTTATTCCACCCACTCAAAAATGTTTTTGGTTTTCTTTTCTTTTTCCTCTATTCTTTCTGATCCATACAGATCCGAGTGGTGAATGCATTTCGTAGTTCCTTATATGAAGGTTTAGAAAAGCCCGAGTCCAGAAGCTCCATCCACAATTTCATGACACACCCAGAGTTTAGAATAGAAGACTCTGAACCTCATATTCCGCTCATTGATGACACCGATGCGGAAGATGAAGCCCCAACAAAGCGTCATTCTACTCCACCACCCTCTCCCAACAAAAATAACAATGCCGTTGATAGTGGAATACATCTTACAATAGAACCGAACAAATCAGCTACCTCTTCGTCCCCAGGCAGTCCGCTACATAGTCTGGAAACGTCACTCTGATTGTAAGATGAATGTTAACATACTAGCTGATTTGCAAAAAGAAACAAATATGAAACTGGGTCCTTTCACACATTGTGGTGGGCAGGAGAGTATGTCCTGCCTTTGGACTTCTAATGAAGACACACTTGTATGAATGTAGATTTATTTTTTTAAAAAAAAGCTTTCTGCCAGCCTGAGGGTGCTTTTCTTGGGAAGGAAAAGGGATGGGATGGACTTTGTGAGATGAACTCTTGACAGAACAATAAACTCCTCAAAAGTGACCTGCAGAACATCTGTTATACTAAAAGTTGATTGACCTGGACAATGTGTTAGCAATGCTCTAGTTTATATTGATCCTCATTTTTTTTCCCTATTGGGCCCTGGGTCGTTGATTTCATTATTTATGTTATAAATGATACAGATCTGTTTACAAGGTTTCTAGATATTTTTGTTCCGGTTAATAGAAGGGAAGCTTCCTAATATACAAAAACAAGCCCTTTAAAACACTGCTGTATTTTCACAAGAAAGGGGTGTTTCTATTGAACCAGAACTACTTTTTTTTTTTTTTGCCTGCAATTTACTTGTTTAATATTGTAGATAAATTGCTAAGACTAATAGCCAAATAGTAAACCCTAATGCTTTGTAAAAAAAAATCAAAAAAAAAAATCAAGCAGCAGTGTTCGAACGAAAAAATGATGGCCTCTGTCCTTAGTTTCTTTAAAAAAAAAAAAGAAAAAAACATTTACTACTTAATTGTTTTCATTTTTTTTTTCCAATGTCTAAAGAAATGTTAAAAGAACTTTGATCTAAAGCTCAAAGGAATATTGTATAATGCAGGACATCAATGTGTGACGGATCTTGCTTGAAATCCTTTTGCTTTCTCCGTCAAAAATATATAAAATCAAAATACATCAAAAATTAGTCTTTTTTTTTTTTTTTTTTTTTATGTTTGTCTAAACATGTTAGTTTTAGAACTGTCTTGGTGAACTGTGAGTGGAACAGTGTTGATTTTTTTCTAATAAATCTTTAGGTGACCTTCATACAGCATGAGGGCTGTTGGCATTTTGAAAAAAAAAAGTTACTACGAGAAAGTAGTAGTTATACATGTTTTCCTTTTTTGTTTTTGAAACTTGTTTGTAAACACAATAAACATGCCCTTTTATTTAAAAAAAAAAAAATTGCAGTAATGTTTCTTTGCAAAAAGATTAATTATTTGGCCTAAAATACAGTAAAAACTGAAGAACTACACTATTTGTACATTTCAAGATGGTAACAGCCCCGTGAAATTGTGTTGATTATCAGTGTAAAATAATAAATGGTGGTGGCTGCAGTGTAGTCAGACAAACAAAATGTATATGTAATGTGAATCGGGTAGATTTGAAAGCAATGTTTTTGATTCCAGAAAAGTAGCAATATTTTTTTTTTCTTCAATATATGAATTGATTTTTACAACTTTAGTTTCCACCTGAATACTCAGAATTTTCAAAATACACATACACATATGATACACAAAAAGTCTATACTACATGTAATCATATTTTCTGGGTGTGTATATATATATATATATATATATATATATATATATATATATATATATATATATATATATACACACACACTTATTTATTTTTTTCAGAAATGTAGTATAGACTTTTTGTGTATCATTTTGTAATGCAAGCATATCTACACGTAAATAAATATATATATATTTAGTGCGTCTTCTGACTTACCCTTGTTCTGCGATAACAACCTTCACGAAGTCTTCTTCGGTCACCACCTAAGTGGTCTCTACAAACAAGGGGCATGTTCATTTTCAGTGGCCGGAGCCATGAGCAGGTTTGAAGTGTCCCGTTAACTTAATGGTCATCCTTGCTTCCTACCAAATCAGACTTGATAATGGCAGATTGCATAAAGGAAATGTAAGCTGGTATACACAAAGACGCTGGAACCTGTGTATCTTCGTTTTGAAGGACTTCTTGCAGCGATAGTGGGTTCCTCTTCTCACGCTGGCATAACTTTCAAGAACAGGTGGTTTGCGGAGAAAGTGTTTTTGTAACGAAAACATTTATAGTTTTTTTTTTTTTTTTAAATTGTAAAAACACAACCAGATACTATAAAAAGAGGTAAGTTGCTATTTACATACATGCAGGCCGTACACATCAAACTTTTCTGGGATAAATACACACTATATAATACATAAAATATAAAGATGCGACAGTTTTCAGTTTCTTGGAGGAAGAGTAGATAATCTATTTGCACATAAGTGCTTCAATTTAACACAAGTCCGTCCTATTAAACTGAGAAAAGATAATCTATCTGCAAATAATTACTTCCCTTTAATGCAAGACTGTCCTGTTTAAGCTGTTCACAATCGTACTAAAGTGTCCACCATGTGTGGATTCATCTACAGTGAAATTATATTATGTAAATACTACCACGGAACCCATTATTGTTTTAAACTTTATTTTCATATGTTATTCAATAAATTTTAAAGTTGAACTCAATATGATTTTTTTTTTTTTTGGTGGGGGGGGAGAGTGTCTTCTGAATTAAATGGCAGTGTTTGAAGGCAAACTCCAGTACTGAAGTTATCATTTCTTTATTCCAGCTTTTAACAAGCATTTTTTTTTTGCTCCAAATGTGTAGAAATGGTCAGCAGAGGAATGCATTAATTCTTCAGCCTGTTATAGTCACAATTTTAAAAGTATTTTAAATGGTCTTTTCTGGTCGTTCTCTTATTCTTCTAGCAATCATCCATCACAACTACCTAAACTATTGTCGCATATATTATAACAAAAAATTATTTGGATATGTTTTTTAGTAATTCTCAAAGTTTTATTTTGTTAATCAACTGCTAAAGCCAACAAATAGTAGCAACGTCTCAGAAGAACCTGAAAATAACAAAATTGAACAATATCCTGGTAGACTGCACCCATAAATTTGTCAGAAGCTTGATCCTGTCCCATCTCACCTTATCAGATCTCTCTCCCCTTGTCTTGTGCCTTCCTTAACACACATCTTCAACTGCTTTCTCTCTTCTGGCATTGTCCCTGCTGACCTTAAACATGCCATTGTAGTACCTATCCTGAAAAAAACATCTCTCAACCCGTCCCCCCCCTAACTATCGTCTCATATATGCTCCCTTTTTCCTCAAAGCTTCTGGTAAGGCTTGTTTTTACCCATGTGTCTCACTTTCTCAATTCCAACTCTCATTGACCCTCTTCAGTCTGGCTTCCGCCCTCTCCATGCTACTGAGACTGCTCTTATCAAAGTTACTAACGACCTAATCGCAGCCAAATCCAAAGGCCACTACTCCATACTAATTCTTCTTGACCTCTGCTGCCTTTGACACCGTAGACCGTGCTCTCCTTCTTCAAACTCTTCAATCATTCGGTCTCTCTTACTCTGTCCTCTTGTGGTTTTCCTCTTATCTCTCCCAACGCTCATTCAGTGTCTCCTTCTAATGATACCTCCTCCACTGGTCCTGCCTCAGTTGGAGTCCCCCAAGGCTCTGTCCTTGGTCCCCTTCTATTTTTTTCTTTATACTGCCTCTCTTGGCAAACTTATTACCTCATTTGGATTCCACTACCACCTGTACGCTAATGACACCCAGATATCTCTCCTCCCCGGACCTCTCCCCTGCCACCCTGCAATGTGTGTCACTGCTTGCCTTTCTTCCATCTCTGACTGCGTGTCCTCTCACTTTCTGAAACAAAATCTCTCTAAAACTGAGCTCCTTGTCTTTCCTCCTCCTAATACTGATCCTCCTCTTTCGCTCTCCCTTCAAGTTAGTAGTATCCACATCAGTACATCCTTGCAAGTGCGCTGTCTTGGTGTCATACTTGATTCTCGACTCACATCCAGCATGTTACCAAGTGCTGTAGATTCCATCTTAAAAACATAGTCCGCATCCGCCCCTTTCTTAAGCAAGATGCTACGAAGGAGCTTGTCCATGCTCTAGTAATTTCTTGCATGGATTATTGTAACCCTTTCCTAATTGGTCTAACCAAAAACCGTATTGCCCCGCTACAGTCTGTAATGAATGCTGCCGCCAGACTGATTGTCCTCTCTAGTCGATCCTCTCACACCTCACCCCTCTGTCAGTCCTTACATTGGCTTCCTGTATCCTATAGGCGTCAATTTAAAGTGCTAACCCATACCTATAAAGCATTGACCAATTCTAGCCCCTCTTATGTCTCTTCACAGATCCATAGGTATGGCCCGTCCTGGTCTCTCCGCTCTGCCAGTGACCACCTCCTCTCTGCTCGGATGCATACGGCCAACTCACCCTTGCAGGACTTCTCTCGGGCAGCTCCCTTCCTATGGATTAGCCTGCCTACCGCCATCAGACTCTCCCCTAGTCTTCAATTATTTAAGAAGTGCTTTAAAACCCATCTCTTTAGAAAAGCTTAAGGCCTCCAAGAGTAACCTCTAACTCACATATGTGTCTTGCTCTCTCCGGCTCTGATTCACTCCCACCTTATTTGATTGCTATTTCCGGTCCTATTGTGTTTTACACCCCATCTCACTGTAGCGTTTTATTTAAAAAGTTGATTCTCTTGCATTAACTATTTCATTTATTGCTTTTAATACAGGATAAAAAATTCAAAGAGGCATCAACTAGCATTTTTGAGGTAGGCCTAATATTTTCTTATTGGTTTTGCCCATTGCCCAATCTTAGTAAAAAAAAATGAATCTAACAAACCAATAGAAGTGATTAATTTAAACCATTATATCCCCCATTTATATTTCAATGAAAGCCAGTAAGAAAAATATTTGTTCAGTAATATCAAATCAACGATTATAAAAATGCAAAAGGGGGAAGAATATCCACTTCTGGAAACCAATATGTCTCAAGGACTGTATACGATTGACTGGTATCAACTGTAGGGTGATGCCTAGATCCTTAACACCAAGGATATATTTTACAAGAGCCGCATGGAGAGATTGTACCCCAAGGTCTTAAGGAGCATCATTGATTTTTCAGTGGGAGACAATTACAGAAGATTTTGATTATATTCATTGTGGAGAACGTGATTTCTTTAGGAAAAAATATTTATGCCGCATCAGAAGGAGGTGAACAGTTAAGCATCTGCCTGGCTTCTCGGCTGTACCACATCCTAGGCACCAGGACACCGGCCCAATTTGTACATTTCTTGATTTTGATATGAAAGTTTTATCTGTCAAACATTTTACCTTTTTCTGAGTTCTTGTAACTGCTTTTTAGAACCCTGTGGTTATGGCTGCAGACCATCCTTGGCAGCTAGCGATTTAAAAATATCTATTACATCAATGACTCAACTTTCCAACATTGGCTTTGCCAGTTGGACTCTTCAGTGCCAATGTTTAGAGAATAATTGGTTTTCTGATTTTTATCCACGCATGTTTTCCTTTAGATTGTAGTCTAGATAGCTTGAGCAGGGTCCTCATCAACCTATTGTAACTGTCACGATTTGTAAAAGTTTGTCTCATTTGTTAAATTCCTCTTTTATATTATTGTAAAGCGTTGCAGAATAAGTTAGTGCTATATAAATACAAAGTATTTAATCTGTTCTAATGTACGCAAGATATAGAATATAGTGTCTGGGTTTTTTTCAGTACTGTCGATATTTAAAACAACCTATGACTTAATCACTGAGAATCCAAAGTTTTTTGCTCTTGTGTGGGTGGTTTCTTTTGTGTTTTTCTAAGTGTTTTTAGGACCCCACTGAGATCTCCCTCCCCCATGGATTTCAATTGACTTGTGTGTATATTTAATAGTCCCTCTTTTGGATTCTGTCCATTGGATTTTTTGTTAATAAGGGAGTTTTTGTCGGCCTTGCATTCAACAAGAGCAGCTTCAGACTTGAGTTATTTCTCTATAAAATTCCAGGTAATCTGGGTCAGATGTTATACCTTTTTGTGACTCAGAAATGATGGCACCTTCCCCAGAGTGCCCTTTATTAGAGTGTCTTCCATTGTATTTTACACAGAATTTGTGAAGTGTTACTTTATATAGATGCTGATTTAATTTTTGTTCTAGCAAAATGCTTTCCTCTACATAAACCAGAGCCAATGATCTAGCTCCTGACTCCTTGTGGATGATGTTCTTTTACAAGCATGGTTGTCCTGAAGAGTCAGGTGGGCCTAATTTAAAAAAAAAAAAAAAAAATCTCCATAGCCCCCCTTGTCCTCCTGCCTCATGTGTAAGAGTAAAACAAAAACAAACCTCCCCCCCACCAATTTTGAGGATCTAAATAAGAACAGGGAGGGAGATGACCGGAGAAAACAATTAATGGGAAGTTTCTAGTACCTCATTTAACCAGGATGAGCCCAGCAGAACAAACTGTATCCCCTTGCCACAGGGGGAGTGTTATATGTGGATTGAATGCACTGCTTATTTACTTTTTGGTCTTTGGTAACTGAATTAAAGGGAAACTAACCATTAGAACACCTTAAAGGACCACTATAGGCACCCAGACCATTTCAGCTCAATGAAGTGGTCTGGGTGCCAGGTCCCCCTAGTTTTAAATCTGCAGCTGAAAACATAGCAGATTTAGAGAAACTGATATGTTTACACTGCAGGATTAATCCAGCCTCTAGTGGCTTTGCTCCAGTATAACCCCCCCACCCCCCACCACCACACAAACTGAACCCCTACTCACACTACACTCCTTCACACACACACACTGAACTCCTACTCACACTACACCCCCTCACACACACACTGAACCCCTATACACACACTTCACCACCTGACACACACTCATTGAACCCTTACTCACACTACACCCTCCCCCCCACCCCACCCACAGAGGCGGCTCTAGACTTTTAGGCCTTAGGCCGCCTAAACACCCTAATTAGAGAGCCGCCTCTGCGCGCGCACACACCACCCCCTTCACTCCTACACACACTGCACACCTCACTGCAGTCTGTGTGTGTGTGTATTATATATGTTGGAGATACCAATGTGTACATATTTCTCTGGGGTTTTTTTATTTTTATTTTGGGTGTCCCGTTTTTTTATTTTCAAAATCTGGTCACCCTTCTTTTGTATCAATAAGTTTTCATTATTTGTCTGTATTCCCCTTGTTGCTAAGTGCTGCGGAATATATTAAGGTAACCAAATGTATATCTCACAACAGTTCAAATGGGCAAAGCCATTCAGAGAAATTTCAAGTGATTTATTGTAATCAAATTATCCAACTTAGATGTAATTTAGAACAATAGCAATGTATCTAAAAAAAAAAAAAAAAAACAATGTGTAAAATAAACACATTTATTGTAGTGTTCTAAATAAAGATACTTGGGAGATATCCAAATAACAATGATGGCTCCTATAAAGAAGTCAGGCACTGTTTCTCAGTGTGTACACAGAAAGCAAAACCCATCTCTACCATTGATATTTGGCCACTGGAAACCGATTTTGGTGGCCAAGTGCCCACTATATAGATATTAACGTTGCCCAAAACAAAAATGGAAACCATGTATTCTAGCCTATCACGCTGTTCTGCCGCCCGTTCTG